GTTGGTAATGGTAGGTCTAAAGAGACATGGGTTTAGATATTATCTTCATTGCATGAGTGAGGTGCTTAAACACATTCTGCATTCTCTGGCCTTCATTTAAGTAACTGGGGTCATGGTTTATCCTCAGTTTTCAGAAACCAGAATAAAGTTTATGGAAGAAATGCTTTCTTTTTCCCCTTAAGATTTTTATTTTCTTTGTAATACTTTCTAAGTATTCCTTCACTGGTTTGTTTTAGATTCATTTGCCATGGGCTTGTCACTGGTGAGAAGTACATTTTCAGAGTCAGAGCTGTTAATGCAGCAGGACTCAGTGAATTTTCACAGGATTCGGAGCCTATAGAAGTGCAAGCAGCCATTGGTAAGCTATTTTCCATTGCTCTTTTCAGTGGTAAATATGGGGTTTTTTAATTGAGTAAAGATGTTTTCAGCAACTATTTGTAACTAATTGTTTTGTTTTACAATGCTGTCCACAAATAATAATTTATCCATAGATCCTATGGTCTCACAGCTGTAGTTTCACAGTCACTGCACTCTTGTAGACTGTTCACCTTCACCATCCAGTCTTCTTCAGGTGTTTCTTGTGAACCACTGTAAGAAAGCACTGCCAAGTTCACTTCATAGGTATCCTGGAAAATGGAATGTCATTCTGATTCTGTAATGTGGTATTTATCACCTCTAATGCACACCATCCTATATACAGTCAGTTCCTAAGAAATTTGTTTCCATACCTAAACCTAATAATCAGTGCAATGTGTCTTTTGTAAACCTTCTATAACCCTGTGTGTTCTCCCTTTGTTGATGAATTATTTCTGTTTGCCACTGCCTGAACTAATCCATAAAGATTAATGAGATAATTGGGCTAGAATAAATTGTATGTCTGCATCATCCTCACTCTCATTTGTATCAAAACTGCATACCTCGCAACCTTAGAGCAGAGAGATGTGGCCTAGGGCAATTTTTTGAGATCATCTTGAAAGGATCAGAAATATTACTTGGAAGATCTAATACTAAAATATAATTGTAGCAAATGAAGATTACTATTAACTTTCCGCATTTCTTCTGCTCTGAAAAGTACACATTATTAAAAGAGCATTACTTGTGAGCAGGTTGAGAGGTATTCTATGCATTTCAAATTTTTGTGAATTCAAGCTTAACATTTTGTGTGTAAAACCTGTGATTTGTCATACTTTGGCTGTATTGTTCACTGTAGGCATTTCTTCATTCTGTTGACTAAAAAAGAATGTATTGTAATTCAAAATGTCTTTGCTGTTTTCTGGCAATTATAGGGGGAGGATTGCTTCATGGTGTGTGTCCTGAACTGAGTGGTAAAGCTGGTGGACTAACAGACCGCACTACCAGCTGGGAAGGCATGCATGAGTCCTCCCAGCCTATCTTTGACACAGATGCTTTGCTAAAATGCAATGCTAAATTTAATAAAGACACGCTACCCAGTAGCTCTGACAAACTGGGGAGCACAGGAGACAATAACATGAGAGAAATGGTTAAGGATGCTGTCACATCTGCACCACAAAATGTTGCTGCTAAGCAGGCAAGTAAGTCTCGACCCAGGGACCTTTTGACACTGGAAAAAGTGACAAAGAAGAAAGATACAGGTGAGAGCTAAGAAAATAAATAGATTTCACTGCTTTGGTACATCCACTTCGAATAGTTGTAACCTCTGCTCGTCTGCACCACAAGTGAATGTGCTCTCCAGTGATGCATCTTCCATCAGACCCATTAATTACGTGCTCAACTCTCTGTTAAGATCATTATGCATGTAATGGTATCGGAGACCACATTACAAACGTAGTGGCTACTGAAAGTGAAACATATAAGTCCATTTACTAATTTAATAGCTTGTTTGACTACATATTAGTGTATCCAAAATACTGTATTATTTCTAAATCACTTTGGTAATTTGTTAGGAGTCTTCTCACCTAGTCTCTGTGCTATGTATGTGTGAAGGAAACAAAATCTGATTATGATGGTAAGCATGAAAATCTGTGTTGTGTTAGGATATATGAAGATCCTTTGTGGATTTATGCCTAAGCTACAGCTTATCCTCTGAGACACAGTGCTAATGAATATTGTGTTGTACCTCTGACTGACAGCAATATGTAATGAAGAAAACCTACCAAGTTGAAGGCACATGCACAAAATCACATTTTATGTTGTCAACACCTAAACACCCATTGTGCCTGAGAAATGTGGGGCTTGAATTTCATTTAAGTCCTGGTACCTGGCCAGTGAACTGAATTCCTCCCCAGGCCTCTGAAGTGAGACTCCAAAGGCTTGTGCAAAGTGTTGAACAGAAAATGAAGTAGAGGCACCTGGGGCTAGCTGACACTGATATGAAACATTAAAGACAAAAGGAAACATGTATGATGTAGGATTTCCATCAAAAGTAGGTCTTCAGGGTCACAAGTGGGGCTCTTCACTGGCACACGACATATTGGGTGTAGGCAAGCATTTCCCCATTAGATACAGAAAAGGTTTTATAAGAAAATGGGTTGGGATGAAGTTAATGATTTCTGTATTGTTAAAAAAAATTTAAAAAGAGGATTATGAAGCAAATTTTTTAATGTAAGTTCCAGTAACAGACATGTTCCATTTCTGGTCAGTCTACAGTGCCTATGATCACGCTTCCTTCCATTAAGGTAAGATCATGTGATGGGTGCAATGATAAAATTTTTACAGTGTATAAATTTGAAAAAAAAAAAAAGAATGAACAGATAAACTCCATTCTTGGAATGAAAGAATGTGGGCCTATTTAAAAAAAGGAACTACAGTGAATATTTTATGTATGAAAAAGTGTTTGCCTTCAGCAAAAGAAAACAAATCATTGCATCTCAAATTTTTTTTACTTTTCCTGTAAAGTTAGTTTTAGTTCCTCATTTTTCACAGTTTTAAAGTGAGTCCTGATCACTTACATCAGAGCTGCAATTGCAACACATTCTTTCACTAAGTATCAGCTTGCTTCTCAAAAAACAAATGATCCTGAAAACTAATTCCTATGCAGTTTGGACTTTTAATTTGGTTTATGGGAACTTTTATCCTGCATTTCTTATTCCAACTCCAGAAACTTCCCTTGACCACATAAATATTGTCATAATTAGGAAATGCAGGATGGGAGCCACCTGAATACGGTAACTGAATGCCACTCTGACTATTGAAATATTACTTCCTACTCATGCATTATTCACATTGAAACAGCTGCTCCATCTCCACCTTATGACATCATGGTACTTGAGAGTGTTCGTGACTCGATGGTATTAGGATGGAAACAACCTAAAGCCACTGGTGGAACTGAAATTACCGGCTACTATGTGAACTATCGTGAAGTGGTTGATGGAGTTCCTGGGAAATGGATGGAGGCCAACATCAAGGCCATTAGTGAGAGGGCATACAGGGTAAGAGGTTAACTTCTGTTACTGCTGTGGATGCAGACAATATTTCCAAAACAGATCTCAAAGACAGATTGGGATGAATTGTGATTCAGTGTACAGATTGCTGTTCAGAGGGTTTTATATCCATGATGATAAATTTTTTTAGCTCTGTTAAACTTTTCTGCAAAATTATTTGTACACGTATCTGTTAGTCTGGCACCAACTATCATCTGTGAATGCACTATTCGAGACGTAGCCTGAATTTTTGTAAGTCAGGCCTCCACAACAAATGGCATTCCTACTGGGCTTGGTGGACCTACCCCAGTGCTTGCTGGTGCTGGAACAAGTTCTGCGCCTGCTGTGTTTTGTGATCAGTTCTTGACCCAATTTATAGATTGTGCTAGCTACAACCTCGTTGAGCTGCTTTACAAATGAAAAGCAATGCCAGGACTGAGTTTCACCCTGCTGTGAGGACAACTCTTGCCTTAAGTGAACTTGCTCTGTATCACAAGACAGATTAATATGATTGTTGAGTAATACCCTGCTAGTGTCTATCAATAGGAAAAGGGGTTTAAAATTTGAGCATGTTAAGACCATTCATGTATGCTCCACCACTGATTAGAGGAAAAGCCAGGATAGTTATCACCTTATGTATGATCTCAATAATGCTTTCATCTCTTCAGGCACTTAAAAGCATGCTCATGTGTCAAATAATTGTCATTGTGAACTTTCTGCTAAAGCCTTAATCCAAAGTTAATGAGCACCATCTTATCGATTCTGCAGATTCAAAACCTGAAGGAAAACATGGTGTACCAGTTCCAGGTGGCTGCTGCTAACCTGGCTGGAGTTGGGACACCCTCCCTACCCAGCCAGCCCTTCAAATGTGAAGAGTGGACCATTGCTGTACCTGGTAGGATCCTGAGTGGGGGGTGGAGGTTACTCACAGGCCAAGGGTGCCCTGTAGCTGATTATCTAAGTTCTCAATGACTTCAGTTTCCAGAGGAGATAACGGGCACTGAAGTTCATACCCAGGCTTGAATCTCCATCTCTTTGTTTTAGTACATTTGCACTCATGCATTAAATGATCCCCATTTAATCAGTAGCATTTTACAAGCAGCTTGTACTTTCTTTATCTTTCCTGCTTGGTTTCTGTACTGTGTGCACCACTTTGCTCCCTAGTTTAAATGATAGACATAAATACCTGCCTAAGGTACAAGGCAGCAAAGAATGAGGTCCCGTAACACTTGTCTAAATGTATCACTTCAAGGCCAGATTGCTGGCCTTTCAATACTTGTTGAAATGAATGAAAACAACCTCCATTGACTTCAGTGGACTTTAGAGCAGTCCTTGAAGCAGCACATTAGCTTAATAATTAACTGATTTCCCTGAGTTTGGAGATTATTTGTCATTTTTGTTTGTTCATGAATATTTGATCAAGATACCAAATCTCAACAAATTGGATTGTCTTTTGGGCTAGTCTTTTTAATAGACATAGGTTGTATTTATATAGGATCTAGATATGATACAGAGGAGCTGCATGTGTTACGTCAGCTCTGGGTGTACAGCATGGTGTCTGGTTTTGGTTTTTGAAATCTTGTGCATTAGCCCTTTTGGGATTTATTTTGATACCACAACTCCAACTTTTACCTTTCAGGGCCACCCCATGATGTCACATGCACAGAAGTTAGGAAGGACTCTTTGGTTTTACTATGGAAGAAACCAGTTTATACTGGTCGTAGTCCCATAGCTGGTTATTATGTTGATATGAAGGAAGCTAAAGCAAAGGAGGAACATTGGAGAAGTGTCAATGAGAAACCACTTCAAAAGAAATTCTTGAAGGTAAATAGCTTAAGATTCAAATACTGGTATAACAGTATAATCTTGAGGAAGTTAGCCTTTGACAGCATCATCCTGTGCTGATCATGATTCCATTTAAAGAAACACATAGTAGTTTATGTTGTGCTGAGGATACACATGTGTAATGCCTGTATAGTCAGACAAGACAGTAACTCAGAAGACAATCTGGTATGACAAGCCTAAAAATAAAAGAAAGCACTGCTAAAACCAAATACCATTCTTATAACACAGGAGGCAAACCTAGCAGTTTCTAGCTGAAAGGACAAGATAGGTATCACTACACAAAAACAGATGGTGCAAAAATAGACTCTGTGATAATGTGGCTGGCTTCTAATACAAAGTACCTTCTCCTCACATTTCACGGCAAGTTAAACCCAAGCTTTCTGCACTATTATGCTACAACATTTTGTGGAATGACTTCTAAATAAGGGATTGGCTGGATCTCCATTCTAGAGATACATCTTAAGTAGCTTTGCTATTTGTATGCTTTTCAGAATATTTGAAAGACAACTCACTTTTAAGTGTGATCCTTTCATATATGTTTTAAAGGAGTATTTGCAGGTGTTATAATGTCAGTATGATTCCTCAACTCACTGCAATTAAATCTGTACAATTAAACGCCCTCCTGTTTCTAAATAGGTGGGGCTGTCACTTATTACCCTAATAATTTCATTTTTAAAAGCCAGACTTTACCTGCAGTAAAAGACTATGCTGTTTCAGAGGTCAATGTACGTGAGTTAAAAACATCCCCTTCCAATAACAATGCTCCTTTTGCAAAGAAATCAATGACAGTAATGGTGCTGTCTAAACGTTAGCTATGCATACAAGGAAGGAACAAGCCAAACAGATCAGTCATGTCACTCTGGAATTGAAAAAAAAAAAAAAAAAAACCACGAGGAAGAAATATTTGTCAACTGGAAAAGAAGCAAAACAAGAAAAAAGGAAATATAATTGTCAAGCATCCAGACTGGAATTGTAAGAAGTGTGAAATTAAAATCAGTGTTTTGTAACACACTATGTATGTATGTATATTTGCTTCCTCCAGATAGGTGGTCTAAAAGAAGGTATGAGCTATGTGTTTCGTGTGCGAGCAACAAACCAAGCTGGCGTTGGGAAACCATCAGATGTCACGGAACCTGTCGTAGCTGAAACACGACCAGGTTTGTTAGAAATACTTCCTCAAATATGAGAAAAAACCTTGTATTTAAACAGGTTCCTGTTTGTGCTATGTGTTTACACAGAGGCTCCATGTGAATAGACTGACCCTTCATAAGTCAAACTTTTTTACTAGGCAGAAAATGAGTTGAGGATCTTACTTTCTTGTCTGGTATATTTTGAGGTCAGATTTTCTTACTATAACTACAGGTTCAGGAATATAAAAATACAATAAAGTCGTAAGATCTGCATATATCTATAGATAAATGCATAAGCAGAGGACTCACTAAGATCAGCTCAACCAAAACATTCTACAGATGTAGATTTTGCCCTTCATATAGTAAACCAGTTGTTTATGTTTTATCTCTCTCCTTTCTTTAACTTATGTAATGTGCCTGAGGAAAGGGTAAAAGAAATTACTTTTTTCTCTTGACCTTAAGAACGTAATGAAGTCAGTTTGGAGATCACCTTCAGTAGGAGTTCAAGTGCAACTGTTTGCTAGGGTCATCCTTGAAGGCTGGCTCCAGTGTGTCTATAATACCAGCAAGAAACATGGGAACCAGTGCAGAGGCAGAATCTCCATACCTGGAACTTCAGAAAACCCCTGAGTTTTGTTTAGCTCTACAGGTAACATAGGCGACTTTGATCAGAGTCATCACCTTTTTGTCACTAAGTCCCTAACAGAAAACACAAGCATGGGCTTGTGGCTTACTCATCTACAGACAGACTATTTTAGAAGCAGAGGGTCCTACAAGGTGGAAAAACAAATTCCCAGATATTTTGACCAAATCTAGTATAGAGTTAGTATGATGTAACAAGGTACAGGGCTACAACCCCGCCTGGATCCACCATACACCCTTCTTTCCTCTGACAAGTTCCCTTCCTCTGCCCGCAGACTCTTATATGTGATCCCATCTGGGAAGGTTTCTGAGCCCTAGAAGAGCAGGAATTAAGGCAGGCAGTGGGCAGGCAGAGGGCAGGCAGGGCAGCACAGGGGCCTGGGGTAGCAGGGCACAGGGAGCATGAGTAGAAGTGCAGGGGCATAGGCAAAGGCAGCAATTACCTGGGCAGGCAGCTGCCTACCCTGCCTGAGCCCAGGCAGTCAGATTGATATGTGCTCCTGCCTGGAGAAATAGTGAGCTGGAAGACAGGGATGGGGAGCAGAATGAAGCCCCCATCATCCAGGAGGAAGCAGTTAGCGACCTGCTACACCACCTAGACACTTACAAGTCTATGGGGCTGGGTGGGATCCACCCCAGAGTACTGAGGGAGCTGGTGGAGGAGATTAACAAGTCACTCTCCATCATCTATCAGCAGTCCTGGGTAACAGGGGAGGTCCCTGATGACTGGAGGCTTGCCAA